TAAAACAAAACATACCAACAATTTGCATATACTATAATTGATTGATTATATATTCTTATGTACTAAGGCGACATTGAGGGCTGAAATTAATGGTGATGAAATATCCACAATGGTATCTACCCACGAACTAAATGTAACAGAAGGAAAGGTGAGATTTTATATTGCACTCTGTAGTTACCTTATTCTGTTTATGCAAGCTCCTTGTTTTGTATGCTGTTCTTTTTTGTACCTAATTTTTTTTACACAGACAAACAAATTTCATATTTATGTCATAAAAATATCCTCATCCATTTTCATCTTCATAAAAATGTAAACATTTGTTAACAATGTGATATGTGGATACCAAATGACAAATTTAGACCTGACACTTCAATTTTTTTTTTTTTTGTATTTTTTTTGTGCGAATCCTGTTTTAGATCCTCCATCAACTGACTGCTAGAGCAATTATTCGTGATTGGGAGGACGGAACTCTTGATGTCGACCCAGTCGAGCATGACATCAAGAAGGATGCACAGAAATCTTATATCATTGATCTCAGCAAAGAATATTCCATCGTGACGCAGTTCACCAGCTTTGTTGCTATAGAAGAGCGAAAAGAGGTTTGTATAAAACACACTTTATCATGTTTTTAATTCGTTAACATGTCAATTAATTTTCTTACTAATATATATTTTGTACGTACACGATTTTTGCTACGATACAGCATGATTTAAGAAAATAATTACAGTCACTATGTTGTGCACATGTTTGTAGCCTGCATAGCACACCATACTGGATCGATGTGCCATCGTAGAGAATCATGATTGTTTTAAATCTTTAAAATATCTTGCTTTTCCGAGTGGTAGTAGCATATACAGTTGTAATATGGTTGAAAACTGTGATGTGATTTGTCGTGACAGCGTCTAATACATTCATATTCATTTGTTGTGGCCACAACATGTGTTTTTGTATTACATGACTCATGATAGTCACAAGGAAAATATCGTATTGGCTTTTATTGACTATATTTGCAGTCGTCTTCTTATCGAGTCACTACGTAGCTAGTGTGTATGATCTAGCTTACGTAGTGTGGTAGAATGATTCGCAGGTAGGATGGATACCTGACATGGGCCACGATGTAAACGCTCCTTCTATGGCTGGACTGGAAATGGACCAGTACACAGGGGTAACCCCCTACTCTTCTCAAATGATGTACTGGGTTATTTAAAGTGCACGCCAATTGTGTACACAAGACCTATGGTTTAGAGTCCTTATCCAAGAAGACTTGTTCCACCACCGGAACCATAGGCGAGTGTGTTGTTCAAACCAGCGCCGATATTACGGCTGTATGTCACGTTTCCCCTATCTTAACCACCAATCGACTCGCCATATTTGCAGTAGCACAGTAGCACACAATAACAAATCTTGTTGATTTTTGAAGTCTACCATAATATTTGAAATTATTTATTATATGATTTCTTCAATCACTTGTGACACTGTAGCACCATCTACAGCCGTACAACATATTTAAAACATCTTCATAGATTCTGCCAATTATTTTGGCCCTCTGTACCATCTATTCTGGCCCAGGAAAAAAATTACCTATTTTGGCCTGTGTGAACTTTTTATGATTTGCATCTCAAACAATACTAATTAATTTACTAATATCTCTTGTTTTTTTGGTTTTTTTTCAGAGTGAAGTTCTTGATATTTTTAAGCCAAGTATCAGTGACCTTGTAGCTAAGGAAAATGTTGATGATATCCCATATATTAGCTGGGATCAAAGTTTTTCAAAACCCAAAGCAACCGCTCGAGCTCCCCTCATATTGGTAAGATTTATTCTTCATAAACCGTTTATTACTCTATTACTTGGCAAGAATACTTTCTCAAATTATGTTTTTGCTATATTCAGCTTTGGCAAAAATATTATTCTCTGTTTTTTTGGACAATAAAAATTTCTGTATTCTGTATTTCTGTAACTACTTGGGAAGGAGCCAGAAGAATTCAGATACCAAATTATCATGAAAAACTAGTGTTTTTTTTACATTCCGGAATTAAGACTAATTTAGTGATTTTTTATTATAAATATGAATGATCTAAAATTCCTTCTCACCAATATAAACAATTACAAATTGGTGATTAGCCTGTAGATTTCTCAAAATCAATATTCAAAATTGTTTTTGGCAAAAGATAGTTGACACCAGGCCAACTCGCCCTTCTTTTCGTGTCGCCACCAATGCCATGAAATGTTCTAAGCGTTGATCTTTAAATATGGTCGTATATAATATGCATTTTTAGTAAACTTTTAAGAGAGTAATTTAGGTAAATTTAGGTTGTACTGTAATATGGTAATACCGTAAATGCTTGAATAAACGCCGCATAACATATATGTAGGCTTTAGTGCGGCGCTTATTCAAGAGTGGTGCTTATTCGAGAGCGGTTCTTATAAAAAAATGTTTCCTAGTTTTGGTAGGGTCCTACGTCATCGTAAATAAATGTAATAAAGAAATGCTTGTGTCTTCATTTTGATATTTATTCCTTTTAACACCCGATACATTTGTATTTAAAACCCTGTTTCTCGAAGTGTTTCATTACACCCAGGAAATATTTACTCCCGATTAAGCGCCACTGCACTTATTCGAGACTGGCGTTAGCAAAAAAAGAAGAAAAAAATGTTTGATTGGGCTCTCTACTCGAGAGCAGCGCTTAATCGAGCATTTACAGTACTTTAAATCCTTTATGGTACTGTTTAATGGAAGTAATTTTTTTTTTTTTGTAATAATTTTTTTTTTTTTCTCACTATGGTATGTTTTTTTTTTTTTTTTTTTTTTTGTAATGTTTTCATGGGAAAGCAATAAATAGTACTTAACTACTTTACTGTGTGTGTGTAATTACGTTTTAGTTTCCTATTTGTTGTGGTGCATGTTGCGCCTGATTTAATTTCTGTATTTGTGCAAATTTTAGGAATCTTGTGCAAGTGATATTTATGTGGACATGTGTTTAAATCGTCGTACAACAAAGGATAAACTGTGAGTATAGTTATATATTCTATTTTGTGCTAGTCAGGATAAAATGACTAATTGTCAAAGAGTATACACAGGATATTTTAAATTTTTGAATGCATGATACTATCATAATGTATGTTCAATATTTATATATGTTGTGACAAATTATTAATAAATAAATAAATATTTATTATATAGTGCACAAATTTATGAACAATAACTTGTCATTATTTACAACCTTATTGTTTTAAAAAATTGTTATAATTAAAACATTGAAGTGCTAACCATTTTCCAAAATATTATATATAAAGTTGTGTCCTGATAAATGCAATGCAAAACTTGTGTGATGTGTTCATTCTCACTGCTTCAAACTTGCTTGTCTAAGATCGGTCTGATCAGCTATTTAAGGAAACATCGGAGCTGAGCACAACTTCTTATTTAGCTCATTCATTTTATCTTCAATCATAACCATCATAGTAATGAAAATTGGGATTAAAAAATAATTATTTTAACTATAATAACATTAAATAATAATAATGGTAGTAATAATAATATTAATAATCTTAAAAGAAAAAAAATAAGTAAATTAAAAATATAAATTAATATTAACAATGATAATAATAATAATAATAATATTTAAAATTAAACTATTATAGCCACTTATTCACAACTATTCATTAATTTGGAGCTGGTAGGGGCAATCATACTTTACTTAGATTGACTCCAAACAACAGCAACCGTATATTATGTTTCATTTGTGGCCATGCTTTTTTCTTTCTTTAGTTCCATGTATGGAAGCTCTGCTGGTAAGTCATATTTGAAAGAATTATTCATTTATTCTTGATTACTTGCCTGGGTAAACCAACTAACCTTGACACACCTTTGATTAAAAGTAAAACCATCGAACCATTCTCAAACATCCTCATTCCTTTGTCATCTGATGGCTACACTTAAAATTATTAATAAGGAAAAGTTTAAATTGTGTGCATAAATAAGCAATATCAAAAAATTGTGTATAATAATTATTATGATGTATGTTGGATGGTTGAGCACTTAAAGCACGAGAATAATTTCTCTTTATTTTCACGGCCCTTTATTTTTTTGAAATTTACCATTTTGAAATATTTCACAGCATTTATTTTTGCAATTTTACAATTTCAAGTCATTTTTTAACCTGATGCAGAAACCTACCATTATGTTTTTTAGCCTATGATACACCAAGCGTGTGTAGCAACCAATAATGTAAAAATGACGCATAATGTAAAAAAAAAAAAGTGGTTAACGCATAATGTAAAAAGGTTTGACGCCTAATGTAAATCACATCAGTATCGCATAATGTAAAAATCAATGCATCAATGCTAACACATAATGTATAAACTTTTTACGTATAATATAAAAACATTTTTTAACGCATAATGTAAAAACCTATCAACGCATACAGTAATGTAAAAACAAGTCTTCTCCTTTCCCTCATGCCTGTTACTTTAACCTACTAGTGTCATTAATGATACCTGCCTGCCTTTCGGTTGTTGTAAGTGCGACATAACGGTTCACCTGTATCTTAGAGCTTCTTCTTGGACAAATTGTAAACAATTACTAAATATACCTTCACGCCCATTGACGCTAGCTAAAAAGGAAAAGCATGATGGAAACATGTAAGACATAATGATCGATGTATAAAACCAAGACAGCGACATTATTATACACCTAGTTTAAACTAAGGTCACACTAGGATAATTGCAGGTTTCAATATTACGGAAGACCGTTTGTAACGGTCACAAAATCCCCCCGCCAAACAATATGCTGTGTATTAATTACAGAAAAAAAAAAAAACCCAATTGGTTAATTTGGTTAATCATAGTGGTGGTTCCTTTTGGGCTTAATTTATAATTTTATTTTATTTTTTTTTTTATTTTATTTTTTTTTTATTTTGCAATTTTTGGAAAAATTTGGGAATTTTTAAATTTAATTTTGAAATTTTTGGAATTTTCTTTTGAAATTATTTGGAAACATTTTGGATTTTTAATTTTTTCTGTAATTTGTTTGGGTGTTTCTTGATTTTTTCTTTTTTTGAAAATATAATGTTTAATATTTTTCTGCAGTTACTACATGTACATAGGATATTTTAAAGAAACGTATCAAAGTTTAAAAAAAAAAAGCGAAATATTATCCACACCATCTATCTGAACCATAAGTTTGATATCTTCTACTACACAAGACATACTAGTGACCATTTAAATAATATGATGACAATGATAATCAAAGGAAACCAAACTTCAACTGTGTATCCGATGAGAAAGAAATATATCAAAGCATTTTTATTTGAACAACTTTATTGATTTATTATTTATTATCCATTAAATAACCCATATTAACTCTGAATTACACTCCAAATTAACACTTCAGTCACAAATGTATTTATGGCAGTTGTCACATATCGATGATACAAATGCAAACATGTATATGAGCATTAAACATAATTACACTCCAAATCAACAGTCACATACTAAATTTAGAAAACTGATTTTTTAGAACTGAGTTTATGGTACAGGTTCTCGCATACCGATGATACATGTGAATACCATACTTGTCCTTTAGAAACGAAAAAAAACAAAAAACAAACAAAATAAAAAACAGGATGCAAACTTTTTCCTCGGCTAGGAGTGTGTGGCGATGTGTGGCATTCGGAAAAGGTTGAAAACTAGAAAATTGTTTCCTTTTTATGGATAAAAAGATGCAAGTTGTTTGCTTTTTGGGGAAAAGCCAAAGGTTTTTGTTTGTTAAAACTAAGTTTCATACTTTTTATCATGCCAAATGCCAAGTTTTTACAATATGTGTTGATAGGTTTTTACGTTGTGTTATGAAATGTTTTTACATTATGCGTCAAAATTGTTTACATAATACGTTGGTTTTTACATTATGCGTTATTTTTTTACATTAAGCGTCAAACCTTTTTACATTATGCGTTAACCAATTATTTTTTTACATTATGCATCATTTTTATATATATTAACAGTTGTTACAGTGTGGTCCTTAATCAGTAGAACAAGTCAAAAAATGAATGAAAATAGACTCTAAAACATCAAAACCCTGAATTGAACTGGGATACATACTGGGGTGGCTACTGGGGGAGCAAAGGTTTAATGGGGGACCTCGATTATTAGGTGAGAGAAGCTAGCTCTTAAAATATGGTGATTTTATAGGTGATTTTTAATTACTAGAGCATGATTTTTTAGGATGGACACTGGGAAAGCACAAATATTTTAAATTATGTGGGGGTGGGGGGGGGGCGTGTGCACACCTGTAGATACTGATTGGGTATGTACAATATTAGAGCAGCTTAAATTTCAGTCGGCTAAACTGGTGGTGTGTACATTGAACCTATGAGATCTTTTGCCTCCTTGTTCAATTTGGTCCCTCGGTTTTAAAAACTGAGTTAGGGTATTTTTAATAAGCATACTAAGTAGAATTGTGAGCTCTCACCTGGCAAGCCAGGTGCTGGACCATAAAGCTACGTTCACATCAAGCCCGGATCCGGTTCAGAGCCCGGACAAAAAATTGTGAGTTGCTATGTTTTTTGAATGCTGCGTTCATATCACGCACAGAACATGGTTGCATTCGGGTTAAGCATGTATGCGTTTGATTGGTCTGAACCAACCAAGCTTGTTGCTGATTGGTCCAAAGGAAAAAAACGTACGATTTCAGGATACAAATGGCTCTCAGATACATCGGTCCGGATCTGGAGTCCTGATTGGAAATTGTACGAATTTGATGTGAACGGTTCTATTCTTTACCACTGAACCCATTTTTCACGCTTTTTTCTCTGGACTCCAGACAGGTATCTGGGCTTGATGTGAATGTAGCTTAAGGAGCACAAGGATCTTAAACAACATTATTTTTGCCATGAACTAATTGGCCAAGAGGAGCCTTTAAAAAACAAGTCTCACCTACACTCTAATTTTTTATATTACATGCTTAAAATAATTATGATCCATCCTAACCACACTTTTGACCAGCAATGCAATTTAGAAAAAATTGGTAGTTAATGCAGCACTTCCGGTTCATATACAATAACTTTGATATGAGGTCAGCTTGGAATCAACTTGCTTCGTTGTCATGTTACACGAAACCTGTAGCCAAAGCACTAAGAGTCAATTGTCAGAACTTACTGACTCAGTATCAAATTGATCATTTTCGTGTTATGTCTTAGTAGGTATATTCTTTAAATAATTTACATTGCCGTATTGTGCTGTTTTTGCTTGAAGCAATACGTCTAATAGAGGAAGGAATGTCTTTTAGAAAAAGTAGGTTTTTTTCGGTTTTCCAACATCAGGAAAATTGAGAGACAGTGGGCCAATTTCGTATGTAGGACAGATTATGCCAAGGTAGGGGCCTACAACAAGAACATAAAAAAAATCGAAAGAAATCTATCAAAATTGGCAGAACTGGGTTATCCAGGAGCTACAGTATCAGGCGACTAAGGGATTGACGTCCCTCGAAAATATACTTTTGAGTATCTACATAACCCATGCCAGAAAACAAAAATACCCCAATACAAGGAGCTAACTTAAAGCCTGCGAAGAAGAAGTCCTCTCGAAAGCCTCGGTGGCTAGCTAGACCCCAACACAGCACAGACAGGCTAATTAAATTTCAGTTTGGTGGTTTACGCATGTAGGCCTAATAATATAAATGTTTTTAAATTTACCTCTACGATTTGAAGTTGGTTTGCCTCTAATTCACAGCGTAAAAAATCAATGTAAAATCCTTTGTAAAGCTAGGGCTACTAGGCCGACGAAAGCAACACTGCTCTTCCTAGATCAGCGATGCTGACTAACGTCAAAACAGTGCGTATTTTCTTTATGTGCGTGACAGTTTGGCAGTAAACCAATGTTTTTTAATAAATAGAGCACGCTTACACATATTTTTATAAGCATCATCAATTACATTTACATTACCTCTTCAGATTATTTTTTTTATTTTTATTTTATTGGTTTGGACATAGTGGCTTTATGAGCTACAAAATTCAATTCCATATTTAAATTTGTAATTAAGAAAGATATTAAAATTCTGAATATGGAGGTTTTTGTATTGCTTTTTCCTTTTTCTAGTTCTGAATTTCTACTATAGTTGATATACTGCAACTACTGTATGAATATATAATGTACAATAATTAACTGCTAGATGCTCGCTCATACATGGCATCTTGACCTAAGAATGATGTTTTTTGTATCTTATTGGCATCCAAACAATTTTTATTCAATTTCCCCCCCCCTCAAATCTCTACTAACTTTCCAGCGTCTGAGTCATCATCTTATTCAATACATTAAAATATTAAAATTACTAATTTATTACTTTAGATTCAGATGAATACGGATCATCATTGGATGAGGAAGAACTTGAAGTTGACATCGGTGATACAGGTGTGAAAAAACAGACAACCTAGCTGTCAGGCTTTCTGAGTAAACTAGACAATTCTCATTCAGAACTCAAATTCATTTTATTCAAATATAGTTCATTACGTATTTAATAACTGTCTTACTTATTTGCAAAAACAAAACACTACACACTATTTTATTCGACAGAATATGTTGACTTGACAGGTTTCTTAGTTGCGTCTTTGAAAGACAAAAATTGTACAATGAGAATCCTGAAGCGATCTGAGATTCGCCTAATAATTCTTGGGCTCTACACACCTCCCAGCCGATCGCCAGGTAGTAGGACTTAAGTCTTAGTGACTTTAGCCTTTTTGTTACGCTGGCTAAAAGTAATCTGTCTTATTTGAACAGATATGCATCAAGATGTGATGATGGAAATTACTAGCCCACGGTATAGTCCTACAAGTCCTGCAATGATCAGTGATGAATTTGCAGGACTTTATGATGATGCTAATTTTCAAGGTGAGGGTGGCATTTTATGAAGTATTACATTATTTGAGCTGAGCTCAATCTGAACTAAAACTGGTGATGTGTTCAACTATGGCAACTTTTGTCCCTGGTTTGATTCTACTGATTTGTATCACAATAAATTTGTCAACTTGTTATTATAAAAATTGTTGTTATGTTCCTTGTAACCACTGGGGTTTCTCTTTAACTTTATACAGATGAATACAGAAGAAGAGCTACGTTTGGAGAAAGATATCGTGTAAAGTCAGGTAAGGATGGCATTTTATGGGGTATGTACAGCACAATATAAGGACAGCTAGCTCAACTGGCAAAATTTAAAGAGTTGACTCTTAAGTTTAATGCTGAAAGGCTTTCAAGCTCTAAAACATAAAGCCAAGCACTCGATTCTATGGAGAGCGCAACGTCACGGCGCATGCGCGACATCGTTTTTAATTACTCTGTTCAGACTTCCATTGACAATTACTACCACTGACAATCTGCAAACCGTGTTGTGTTGTTTAACACTCACAGGGAACGGGGGTTTGATTAGTCAGCCGACAACGCAGTAAGTGTCTGGCTTAAGCCTTTGTTATACAAATGAAACTCAGCAATGATCACTTTTCTCTTTACTCGCCTTTGGCCTCCACCATTCAACTTGCCCATCAATTGCTGGAAATTTCTTTCTGTGTATGTTTTATAATATTTATTTATCTTTTAATTAATTAATTTATTTATTTATTTCTTTGTAATTAATTACTGTACTAGTGAATAATGTAAAGCTCTTTATTTTCACCGCCCTTTATTTTTGCGATTTACAATTTTAAAATATTTTGCGACCTTTATTTTTGTGAATTTACAATCTCAAGTCATTTTTAACGTGATGCAGAAACTACCATTATGTTTTTTATACCAAGCTGGGTCCGTAATATGTTAAAAAATAATAAATAAAAATAGGTTCTAAAACATTGAAACCCTGAATCGAACTTTGATACACCTCATACTAATATCCAATCAAACAAAATACAATAAAATACAGTTTAAACAAGAGTAAATAATTACTGATGTAATGTAAATAATAATAAATTGTGTATTTAAATTTATAAGAAAATGTCTACAGTTTTTGATCGTGTCCTTTTGGTCTACCTCCAGTAATCATAATATAAACAGTGACTACTGGGGTCAGTGGTGTATCTACAGTTGGAGTCTTGAAATGGGGGAACTAATAGGTAGCGAAGGTCGCATGGGGGGGCTTGATGATTAGGTGAGGGGTGCTAATGTAGCTTGTAAAATAAGGGAATTTTTTAGATGATTTTTAACTACTTGAGCATGATTTTTTAGAATGGAAACGGGGAGCGCAAGTATTTTACTTTCTTGGTGGTGTGGGGTGGGGGGGCATGCACACCCCAGTAGATTCACCACTGACTGGGGTATTAGAGCAGCTTAGTTCAGTTGTTTAAACTGGTAGTGTGTACATTGAACCTAGGATATATTTTCCTTCCTTGTTCAATTTGGTCCCTTAGTTTTAAAAACTGAGTGAGGGTATTTTCAGCTTTAGTAAGCATAATCCGTGGAATTGTGAGCTCTCAATGAGCAAGCCAGGCCCTGGACCAAAGGGGCACAAATATATTAAACAACATTATTTTTGCCATGACCTAATTGGCCAAGAGGAGCTCTTAAATAGAACATATTTAAAAAAAAAAAAAAAAAAATATGCTCTAAAATTTTAAAATCCTGAAGCAAACTGAGATTCGCCTAATAATTCTAGGGCTCTACACCTCCCAGCCAAGCCTCAGGTAGTAGGGCTTAAAAAAAGTTTAGTGAGTGACTTTAGGCTGTCTGTTACGCTGGTTAACTGTCATCTGTCTTATTTGAACAGATATATATTAAGATATGATGATGGGAATTGCTAGCCCACAGTATAGTCCTACAAGTCCTGCAATGATCAGTAATGTATGGAGTCTGAATGGATTTTGTTCTCCACATGATGCCAGATGTATACACTAGACCACCATTTTAAGTCCTAATCCAAGAAGACTTGGTTCTACCAACTAAACCATATTGGAGGAGCGGCTGGAACCAGCGCCGATGTTAAGGCTGCAGCTAGTGGTGTCCCTGCCTTACCGTTTGGCCGCTACTACTTTTGCTTTCTGCAGATAGAAATTTTGTATTAATAGCTTTGGGTCATTGTAACTAATCAGCTTCATTGCACAGTATCTCTTCAACTTGTCTCCAAATCAAATCTGTTGTCTCGCTATTGTCTGCTAAGCAACACAATATTCCTGATTATACTCCCTCAACTCATTAAATGCATTCACTGTAGCATTTTCAAATGCTAGTTGAACCATTGTGTACTTTGAGTAAACATTATCTAGCCAGTGAACTACTATTCCTATCGCAGAAAAATTAACAACTTGTTAGTGTTATCGTTATATTCCCTGAATTAATTTTTATATATTTATTTTTTCTTACTATACTGAAGTGTTTGCAGATAAAATCCGAGAGCAGGCAGCGTACACTACAGGTGGTGGTGGTGGTGGCATTTCATCAGGTATAGATAACATCTGACAAGTTTTAGGGTTGTAGCTGTAGAAAACTAAAGGGTGGGTGATAGACATTTGAGGGTGGTAGGTGATAACATTGGTAAACTCTAAATATGAGTGGTTTTTAAAGATGGAAAAGTGGGTTAATAAGGGTGGGTGGAGGGCCATGAAATTAGATTTAGACTGGGTGGAAGACTTCAAGGCTGGGTGGCACCACCCACCATAACTACATCCCTAGTTCAGTCGGCTAAACTTGGGCCATATCCAGACTATTAATTTTTATTTATTTTATTTATTTATTTATTTCATTTCAACAGACCAACAGCGAATCATCACCACTAAGAGGCTGGTAAAATATATAAAATTTAAATATATCAAATATACAGACGAAAGAGTACAAAAATCTCACCTATTCAAATGATTAATAATAATAGAACGAAATATAGACAAACTAGATAATAGAAAAATGTCAATATTAGAGGTTAAAATAAGAGAATTATATTGAAGAGAAGTCTAGAAATAAAACTACGTTTACAGACATCAACTCTACAAAAGGGGACATTAAAGGTAGGACAGGAATGAAGACTTCTAGAATTAACATGCAAACCAAACAGATGTACAAGATCACAACTAAAGTACGAGTTAACATATTTATAGAGAAAAACCATATCGTGAAATAAAAATCTATTCCTAGGACACATTAATTTACAAGGGCGATTAAAACATTTTTCAAAAAACCTAATAAACTTAGGATGCATCCTATCGATGCGAATTAACTGAGATTCGGATGCAGAACTAAAAATAACACAGCAATATTCAAAATGAGAAGTAAGTAAATAACGATATAAGGCAATAATGGCACCAGGGCAATTTAATAGAAGCATATAAAGTATGGTCATGATGTGATGTAATCATATATAGACACATCATGACCATATATGGGCATATTATGACCATATATAGGCACATCATGACCATATGTGGGCATAATACAGCTTTTTGTTAAAAATTCGGTAGTCTGTGCAGGGCTAATGGTAGCCACCGTTTAGTCACTGAACCATGGATAGGAAAATTGCAAATTTAATGCTAAAACATTTCCAAGCAGTAAAACATAAGACTGATCTCTTTTACTCATTTTTGACCTCCACCATTCAACCTGCCCATTAATTGTTGGAAATATCTTTGTGTATGTGTAATTTTAATTTTTTTTATGCTTTTTTTTATTATTTTGGTAATTAATTGCAGTACTTGTATTATAAGTAAAAGTAATTTCAAGCGAATATTAACCCTTGATGGTATTTTAAAGCCTAGTTGGCCAAGCAAGGTCCTTAATGGGTAGGATATGTGTTGGGAAAATAAGAAAATATGCTCTAAAACATTAATATCCCCGAACCAAACTGGGTACACCACATACTATCGGGCTCTACACGGCTGCCAACCCCAAGTGACCTCAGCCTCATTGTTATGCCACTCACCTTCCTAATATTCTTCTGTCTTGTTTAAATAAAGATGAAGATATGGGGTTTGGAATGTTTGAGTCGGTACATTCCAGTGCAATGGAGGCTCAATCTTCATATGGCAAGTACAATATTATATTATTTATATACTTACATTCCTTTGTGTAGATGGACCTGGTAATTACCAGGTCGATCTACACAAAGGAATGTAAGTATATAAATTTTTATTTATTACACTTCATCACTGCAAAAATACAAGAACAATTCAAAAACAAGACAAAAAGCAGCGAAAAGGAGGGGATGAACAGGTGTCAAGCACCTCTATCTACATCCCCCCTTGAACAGATTA